GGCTGCCTTGCTTCCTCAACCTGATTCAGGCCTGTTACAATGCTGAAGAGGGGTACAGCTGTGTCCCGGAACTAGTGGTTCTTGGTGGGGGGGGTCAATTGGGCCTGAGAAAGAATGCATAAAGTCCTGTGAAACCTGCTTTGCTAAGAATGCCCTCAATTTCATTGTTAAGGGTCCAAGCCCAAAATAAGTTTGTTTCCCCAGGTTTTATGGCCAATTGGCATCATCCTGTCTATCAGACGCTGACTCAAAAGGACCCCCGTGATCCCAGAACTGTTATCTGTAAACCACACCTCCTTTCTTTGATATGCATCCCTATGCAAGCTAAACTCAATAAAAGCCGGTTGAGAGAGAGGCTCGAGACCTTTCTCCTCTGAGAGACTGGTTCTCCCTTTCTCTGTTTTCTTCCTAAGCAGATCATGTCTTAGTAGACTTATTCTCATCCACAGAAGCCAAGAGAGCTCTGCTGGATAAAGTCCCCCACAGTAGGTGTCCATCCTTTTGAATTATCTTGGTTCCACATGTATTTTGTTTTTCAATGTCTTTGAGCTATTTTACAACTTAGTAATAGGAAACTGATTGGAGAGCAAATGGTTTTGTCTAAAAGAAGTACAACTGATCTCACCATTTGTCCAAGAAATCAATTACATTTCATCATTCCTTTTGGCTTATCTATCTGCTCTTTGATTTCTCCTCTGAAATATTTTTTAGCCCCTTACTGGTTCCCTCATTAATTAATGAGTTAAGTAAAATTTTTGACACATGTTAATTTTATATTTGTATAAGAGTCATGATTTTAACCTTAAAAAAATTATCTTTTAACAAAAAACATAAATACCAGTTATGAACTCATGGCTGTAATGGGGTTCAGAGGAAAAATCCCCACTAACCTGGTTTGGGGGATGGGAGAAGCAGAGAATAGGGATTGGGAGATTTTGCCTAGCTATGGCAACTTGGTTAGCTAGCTTCATAGTTATGTTAAAAAACTGTGCTACCAGGGAGATGGGTGTGACTTTAACCCATGAGGTAGCTGGGGACTTGTTGTGCAAGAGCCTGGAGTCAGTTCTCTCTGCATCACAGAGCCATGCCTCCCCAGACTAACAATGGCAGCCTAATAAAGGTACTGTACAGAGGACTGGCAGATGTAACCCACTGTGGGAGGAGTCGGAAATGGGGCACGCCAGAAGCTCTGGGCCAGGATTTAGATCAAGTGTGACAGCCATTCTCACTCCTGCCCATGTGGAGAGTAGAAGTGGGGAGGAGGCATGCTGCCTGTAGCAAGGGATTTTTGCCACACGGCCTGGACTAATAAGAAAGGAGATGCTGCTGCTGTGATCATGCCTGCTCTAGCTGACTCCAGAGCTGCAACGGACTTCCTTACCAGATACTGTATTGCTGCACCTGGATCTGGATCTTACATGGACTTTTAGGATCTGTGCCTTTCCTGAGTTTCACCAGAGTAACACGGCACATGCTTTTTTGGACTATTATACGGAGGCTGATGACAACAATCCCCAGATCCCAAAGAAGAGCGCTGCTGCAGGAGGGTGGCAACTATAACACTGGGTGGATGGAGATTTGCGCAGTTGGCTTAAGATAAGAAAATGAGGAACTTTCAGGAATGATTTTGGCTAATAGCCTGATGGGGAGCATGGGAAATGATGGATCTCATGGGAGAACAGGGCCTAGAGCATAAGTGCTCACAGGGCCGCCTCCATGATTGGAATGTTGAAATAAAAACCTGTTCTTACCAGCATTAACTGTTGGGTTTTTCACCAAGGCACCAAGTGAATGGGCCCCAGTCTGTTCAGTAACATGACCATTGGCATGACTAAGGACTATAGCTTCTATCAATATTTTCTTCATTTCTTTGTTATGTATAGATATATGTATTTCAACTAGTTTTAATTTATTCTCCTTCTCCCCCTAGGGGTGTGTCATTGATGGGTCACTTGATAATTTAATTTTTTAGAGTGCTGAATACTAAGATCAGATCCTATCAGAGCCAGAGGAAGAGAGATACTGGGCCTGGAGCTGGACTCAGCTGAAAAAATTTGGATTTGGCAAGTAAATAAGTTGTACAGAATTCCTGCTGGAAGGTTCCTGTGGCATAAGCTTGCCTGTCACCCAGGCTGCTCAAATCCTCCCCAGTTCCTGAGTATCTTTCCCCAGCTTTCTAGGTAGGTTTATGAATTCCCATAAATTCCTTTCCATTTAAGGTTTTGCCCAAAGACCTTTACTAGTGCAGTAACATTGGAAAGACATAAGAAACTACGAATATTGAGAACAGTGTTTCTCAAATTGAGAATCCTGTAAAAAGTCCAATTTTCATTCAGGGGGTCTGGGCAGGGCGTGATTGTCTTCAGTTCTAACAAGCTCTCAGATGATGGTGGTAATTCTAGTGCACAGACCACACTTTGAGTACGGAGACTGAGGGCACTCACTCAATGCTTGTAGAGAAGAGGCTGGAATAGAAAACAGGAAGGAGTGAGATAAAGGGTGTTCAATGCTGTATAGTGGAGCTTGGACTTGGTCATGCAGGGGAGAAGCAGTCATTAAAGGATCCCGGGGGAGTGAAATGAATATTTCCATTTTTTAGAGCCTTCTGGAAGTTATACACAAAACAGAGTGTAAGGTGAGGAACGGGAGGCAGGAGAACCAGTTAGGAAGCATGGTAAGCAAAACAGTAGCCTCTCCCTGTCCCCAGATGTCCTTATCCTAGTCTCTAGAACCTATGAATATGTTACTTTATATGACGAATGGGACTTTGTAGAGTTATTAAATTAAGAACTTTCAGATGGGAAGAGCGTGTGGATTATCCAGGCGGGCCCAGTGTAATTGAACAAATACTTACAGATGGAGCCCCTCTCCCAGCTGTGGTCAGAGGGAGATGTGACTACAGAAGAATGATCAGGGATGACACACTACTGACTCTGAGAACGGAGAACGAGGCTCCAGCCAAGGGAAGCAGGTGGCCTCCAGGAACTGAAAAAGGTAAGAAAGTGGATTCTCCCCTAGAGTCTTGTGCTGTTTTAAGCCACTGAATTCATGGTAATTTGGTATAGTAGCAGTGAAAAACTAACACAGCGGGTGACAGCAACATTTCAAGGAAGAAATGAGGAGAACCTCACTTAATAGAGTGGCAGCAGAAAAGGAGAGACCTGGTCTGAAAGATTACCAGGGGGAACAGAGATGAAGGGACCTGGTCGCCAACCAGGTGTGTGCACCGTTATCCAGCTGGGTGGTGAGGGATATTCCTAGGTTTCTCTCTTGGACAAATGGGTCTGTAATCAAAAGGATGGAAAAAAGTGAGTGTGCAAGTGTGCGTGTACCAGTCTCCCCAAACGTTATTCAGCTCCTTTCTTCCAACTCCATTTTTACCAAGATACCTTCTAATCTTTACTCTCAAGCTTTCCCTCCTGGGAAGAGTGTGTGCTCGCCAGCCAACTCAAACAGCTGTTCTGCTTGTTGGTTACATTTTTCACTCTAAATATGAATTGCCATTCTAGTGATAAACCAGGCTCCTGTGAGATGTCAGAGTAAAACAATTTACCAGGGTTTCAGTTCTCCTAGAAGAGCTTATAGAACTGAATTTCTGCCAAGCAGAAGATCAGACCTTGAACCACGGTGATCCCAGTTTTGCCTCCTTCCCTGGCACAGTTTCCCTGCATCCTAGGCTGGAAGGGAGACCTGGAAGAGGCTGCCTAATGCCTAACCCCTATGCCAAATCAACTGAGAATCATGAGGTTCTGAGCTCATAACTTAACAGCCATTTATAGTGCACACTATGAGGTTCTCAGTCCCCAGGAAGAACCCACCCCCGTCTGGACCCTCTGCTTGGTAGCAGATGCGAGTCAGGGCAAGCAGTTCTGGGCAACCAAGCGTGGCAGGTGAGTTCTGGCTGTAACCAATCTAGAGGTGGCTGGTTTTTCCATGTCGACTTCCTGGAAATCTGAGAAAGCAAATAATGACTTTCCATACCCATTCTGAATTATTTCTTTACCTGTGCCAAACTGGCCAAGTGACACCTTCTGAGCAAAAGAGGGAGAGCAAAGACCCTCTGTCCCTCACAACACTGGGGGGGGGGGGGGGGGGGTCGGGACTGTTTCTATTCACGCCATGGCTCAGGTAAAGAAAGTCAGGCTCTTCGAAGTTAAGCTTCTTGCCCAGCACTGCTTCAGTCAAAGGTCAGAGCCAGGATTTGCCCTCTGGCTCCTCCTGACAAAATCCTCATCTTTTGCACTCTGACCTAGGTATCTCCCCTTCCCTCACAACCCACTCCTGCAGGTCTTTGTCAGTCGGGGTGACCTGATGGTTCTCCTGTCTAGAGGTGCCCGGAACATCTAGGGCTGTGACTGTAGCTTCCGAATCACCCAACAGTAATACATCCTCCAAACCAGTAAGCACCAAGGAGCCCCCTCCTGCGTGTCCAGCCCTCTGCTAGCTGCTGTGGGGAAACAGTCATAGCACAATGAACAACAACTGCTGCCCTCTAAAAGCTTATTAAGCAACGGGGCTTAAATCAGGGGGCAACGGAATTGCAAAACTGGAGCGGGGAGAGAGCCAAAGCCACAGATGCAGGAGCTGTAGCAGGTGTGCTGGCCTCTGGGACCACGCTCCTGCCCCCGGTGCCAGACTGTCTCACAACGACAGCACTTTGTGGTCTACACGGTGCTTTCCAGACAGAGAAACTGAGGATCGGAGAGGAGCAGTTACTCACTGAAGGCCACACAGTGGCTGCGGTAGACTGAAGGTCCATCCCCTGATTCCAGATGTCATTTCCTCTCACCGTACCTCCCTGCTTCCCTCACTCTGCACTCTAGCTCTAAAGGGGAAGTCCAGACAGGGGAGGGGACTCCTGGGTCACACCAGGCGAGTCTCACGAGAAGAAGAGCAATAAAGGGACTCCTCTGCCCTGCTGCCAGTTCCCACAGCAGAGAGCACCCACCTTCCCCCACCAGCTCACACCCAGTCTCCCCCACCCAAAAGGTGCAACTTACGTATTCTTTAATGTCCTTTGATTTCACAGCCTTGTAGGAATAATATGCAGGGTAAAGGGTGCCAAATATAAGCCTGGAGGGAAGAGAGAAAAAAAGAGAAACATGATTTTCCTTCATCCTATTTGATGGAAAGTATCTGTCTTCAATGCCATGAACAGTTGGCTCTAAGCTACAGAAAATGCTCCTCTGTGGGCTCGATCTATTGTTCCTGAGGCCCTGAAGGTCTTCTGCTCCTCAATGAGATGTACTTAGGAACCTCCTGTTACAGCTCCACCATCTGTAAGTCTGGCAACACAGGAGGGTGAAGTGGGGTCATGAGAGCCAACAATGGGGTGGAGGTGGGTAGCCCACCTGAGCAGCCAAGACCAGGGAGATTAAAGGTCAAATTTTCCTCTCCTGCTGCTAGTGCCGCTGTGATACTCCATAAAGCCCGCTGACCTGCTGGGCTTCCCTCACCATTAAAACCTTTTCACTAAAAGTTCCTTCAAATTTCATACCTCTCATACTTGACTTCAGTATCCTGCTGCTAGAGTCAGTTTTTCTATGGGAAATCCATTCGGGCCGACCCCTGCTCCTGCCACCTCTATCCCCACCCTGCATTGACCCGTGTCTCACTGCTCTGAGGATGGAGAAGCAAAAATACCACCAGCACAACTGTCTGGGCATCAGCTCTCACTGACCCACATCTCAGCCCTGCCGCCAAAGACCTGCACAGCACAGCTCTACCTGACCTCATTCTCTCCATCTCGCACCATCCCCTGACCAAGCCTCTGAGTGGGCTGTTGTCTCCTTCCGGAGTCTTCCCTCCCCTTTCTCTGTCTGGTCTGTAACGCCCGTTCATCGGATCCCAGCTCCACTGTGCCTTGTGCGTGCAAGCTCTGGGAGCTCCCTGACCTCCCGACTAGGTCAGTGTCCCCAGGCACTCTCACAGACCCAGGTGCACATTATCAGGGTGCTCTTCACTACTGTTTGGGTGATGCTTTGATTGACAAGATCTCCCGGTTGGACTGCAAGCACCTTCAGGGCACAGAATGGATCTGTTTTCTTTAACAGTGTATTCCCAGCACCTACCACATAGTAGGCTCTCAGTGGATACTTTTAATTGTATGAAATGACAGAATGTTAGAGTTAGATGAGTCCATTCACCTGACAGATAAGGTCACCCCCAGGTGTCAATTCAGGTGCAAACTGCATGGGTACAGGAGGGGCACTGGCCCCCACCCCACAGGAGCCAACATCTTCTGTGACAACCCATCAACAGAGTTCCCAGGGTCACTGCAAGGAGACCCCACACTTGGGAAGCCCAAAGCCCTGGCAGTCCAGATGCAATTTACCAAGCAGTGGTCAGTTTCCCACAGCTGCTGTGGCCAGGTAACACCTTGACATTCTGCATTTATCAGGCTGCCAGGAAAAAAAAGTTAGCTGAACTGAGTCAGCTTCTGTGATGCTGAAAGGGAAGGGGTTTTGTAACCCTGACTTACATAGGCCTTGCCCTAAATGCTTCTCAGGTGTCACCTCAGTCCTCAGACCACCTTGGTTAAAGGAGCCTCGTTCATGGACAAGGCACCAGCGCACAGGGCAGTTCATCACGTGCTTGTCTATGGTTCCATCAGAAGACAGGCTGCTGGCTGCCAGGGACCTAGCCACGGTGGCTCCTCCAAGCCTGGCTTGGGAGCGAGGCCATCCCTGTGAAGGCTGGGATTAGGTGTGGGGAGCAACACAGGCCAGCAAAGGGGACAACAAATATCTGAAAGGAAGGGGGGAAAGTGGGACTCAGGCAGGAGAGGAGAAACTTAAGAAAGAGAGGGAAGGCACCAGGCTGCTGAGAGGGACACAGCCTAGGGAAGCCCACAGGCTGCTATGAGCCTGCCTGGTGAAGGAGGTCTTCCCAACCATCCCCCCTGCCCGCTCCAAAGCAGTCTCAGAGATCAGAGATGGTCTGTTCTCCGTGAGGCCTTTCCTGACCTCAGAGCCCCCTGAAGATTATTAGCTTGTTCTCTCCTTCCTACATGCCACAACATCCCCTTCTCTTCACCCTTATCCTTACCACTTGCAGTGATATATTCAGTGTCTGTCTCTGCCCCATGATGTTCCACGGAGCCAAGGGTGGGGGTCTGTCTCATTCATCACCACTCTCCCTGGGCCTGGCAAGTGCTTGATGAGCACATGGTGTTCACTGTGTGAAGTTGCTGAGTGGTGAAGGAAGGGGCGGAGCCACCCAGGGCACTTTCATGACCTTGGGACTGAGGTCTCAGCAGCAAGGGGGATGCCAGAGGGCAACGGCTGATTCAGCAAAACCTCAGGCAACATGCCATGAGCCCCTCTGGCACAGATGCCCCAGGTCTGCCAGGAAGGTTTCCGGGCCCTGCCCTGAGGCTGGGTGTGAACAGCAGAAGAGAGACAGGTGCAAAGTACACAGCAAATCAGCATCTGCTACATTTGCTCCTCTGTGAGCTCCCGTGAGCAGTGCCAGCTCCGAGGGTCAAAGAGCTGGGAACCTCGGCAGTGTGCTCTCCACCTGCTGGGGTCCTGCTGTGCAGTGGCTGCCAGTGTCCCCCACCAGACAGCACGGGGACACAGGACAAATTTGCTTTTTCAGTCCCTAAAATCTCAATAACCCTGGCAGGTAAAGGAGCACACTTAGCATTTCACTGCCCAGGGAAGGAAGAACAGGATTAAAATGGCGAGCTCCTCTAAACCTATTTTGGAGAAAAGAAATAACAAATGAAGCTGGTCCAAGTCGAAGGCTTTGGGACCTGTGTCCACGCAGCGCCCTTGCCAGGTGCTCCTCCACGCAGCCCACCACCTTCCTCCCCAGGCTCACGGCCCGCCCCTCCCGCAGCCTCCGGATCTCACAGCCAGCGGCTGTCTGCCAAAGAGCCCTGCTCACTCACAACTGACTTCCCCCTGCTCTTTGTCCCGCCTGAATCTTAGAGCATGATCTTCCCACTACCCCACAACTTTTTTCCAGATAAAGTCTCACTAATCCTTTAATATACATCTCAAAGAGCCACTTCTTCTGTGAGTCTTTGATCAGTTGTCCCTCAGAATTTTTTTGACTGTCTGGAAGTCTATAATAGCCCTTATGTAGTAATATTAGTGAAGTATTCAAAATAATGATATTAATGTCACTGAGTACTACTAATGCCAAGCACTGCTCTACAGGTTGTATACGTTGTCTCACTCTCAACACCCGGATGGGGTAAGATCCTGTCCCTCCATCTCACAGGTGAGAACACTAACGTCCAAGGAGACAACAGCCCGGAGCAGAGCTGGGGTGTGGGCCTGGGCAGCCCGACAACAGGGCCCGTCCTCTCCTCCGGGGCTCCCTGTGCCGGCTGCGTCAGTCTCCTAGGTGATCAGTGGGGTCCCTGGTGCCTGGCACAGCCCCTGCCCTAGTGGATACTTGAAAAATGTCTGTTGAATGAATAAAGAACAAACAATTGCCATCTCTCTCCGAGGAACTTCACCCACTTGATAGATCCACAAAACTCTCTCTACAAGGTCAGGAGGAAAGCAGTAAAATACTTAGGAGCATCCACAGCTACTTAAGTGCTTACCATCAGCCCCAGCAGAGCAAAGGGAGGAGGTGTGAGTGTCTCTAGAGGGGAGACCGGGCTCTCTGCAAAATCCCTCCTCCCAGTTACCTATGAATGGAGCCTCGCACTGCACTTCACGGATTCAGAGCTCTGCACCCACCTTCCCTTCTCCACTGTCATTTACTGTTACCCTGAAGTCCTCCACTCCTAACTTATTGGCTCCGTTTATCTGCCTCCCGTGTTTCTCCTATCTTTGCCCTTCCTTCCTCCTCTTGCTCCAAGTTAGGGGCCCTCATCCAGGGTTGCCTCCCCAACCTCCTCCATAGCTGCAGCACCTAGAAGGGGCTGTCAGTCCCATGTAGACGCTATCCTCTAAGGCAGTGGTTCCCAAGCAGGGACAATTTGCTTTCCTGGAGGACATCTGGGCAATGTCTAGAAACACTCTGGTTGTCACAACTGAGAGACCGCTACTGGCATCTAATAGGTAGAAGCCACGGATGCTGCTCAGCATCCTACAATGCACAGGACAGCCCGCAAACAAAGAATTGTCCGGTTTGAAATGTCAATGCTGCCAGTGTGGAGAAAGCCCGCTCCAGCATGCTGCTGTTCCCAGTCCCTGGGCTCTTCCCCTGACCATCAAAGGCAATGTGCCCTGGGAGTTCAAAAAAATGCCAACATCCAAGGCAAAATAGCAAACGCTCAGATAGGAGAGAATAGTCTAAAATGGCAAAGAACACACACCTACCCATTGGCCGAAGTCAGGGAAAACACAACTCTGAAGCTATGTGTTAACCTCCTAGAGCTCTGGACAAGAAAAGAGAGGTATTGCTCACATGCGTGAACTGCAACTGTGACACCAGTTACGGTCACCGAGGAGGGCCGCTCACGACTCCCCAGAGCCCACGGAGGAGCGATCGCTGGCCAAGGGCTCAGCTACGGGCAGTGGCACCGTGGCTCCCAATGGTGGCCAACAGCTCCGTAAACTGTGAAATAGACTATTTCCCACAGTCTTCTCAGGCAAGCTGGTGTCAGATAGCATTTCCCTATTCACAGTAAAACTGAAAACTTTAAAAATCAATACCAGCAATATTTTTTAAATTAATTTTTTAACACGAGGAAAATAACAGGCCTATTTGCTTTTCACATTGTGACAAAACAAACTGAATGTAAGAACTGGTATACCACACGTGAGCTTCTGGAATGCTTAATTTCTTGATCTGAATGGTAGTTATGCAGAATTTGGCTTTATAATTACAAGTATATATTAAACCATATACATATGTTCTATGTATTTTTCTATATGTATATATTCTACTTCATACTTTTAAACATTTAAAAAATATTTATTTATTCTTATAGAGAGGAGAAGAGAGGGAAAGAAACATCGATGTGATAAACACCGATCAGGGAATTCCAGATGAGATAGGGGCATAGATGGAAACGCTTTGCTTCCCCACACAACAAAAAAAAGGTAACAACCAATTTAAAAACAAAAACCTGCCAAACTGCCAGAAATCAAACTGCATGGAAGTCC